AATGCATTTCTCGCAAGTCTCGGGGTTCGAATCGCCAACAGTATCATCACCGAAGAGTTCTGTCTTCTGGGATATAATGCCATGCAGTCCAGCAGACGATTCGCAGGAACATATCGCCTCCATCTTCAGGGTCTAAGAATAAGCTGAGCGCGAAGCCAGCAAGAAAGCAGGCGGAAAGCATGAAGATAGTAACGACCGCTGAGAGAACCTGCAGTCCTACATAACAGTATCTCTGTTTTCCCAAAACTCCCTCCTCAGTCCCCCCCCCCAAAAGGTGTATTTCCTCCTTTTCGCGTGACGTTATTCCTAACTTGTTGCTGTCATCATGGTCTCTGCCCCCATCTTGGGCGTATTTCTCTTAGGTACATGTTCGGAACCTTCATGATTGTACCGTTCTTCCTTCTTAAGACTCGTCCTCTTCATCACATCCTGTTATTTATTAATACATGCTGCAATGTTCACTTGGTACATCGGCCACTTTATGACCTATTGTAGAGGATGAATGTGGAGCAGTCGCTGGAATGAGAACTGACAAGGGAAACCGAAGTAGGCGGAGAAAACCTGCCTCAGTACCACTTTGTCCATCACAAATCCCACATGACCTGACCTGGGCTTGAAGCCGGGACTAACCGCCTGAGCTATGGCATGGCCCCACTGATTCAATAAATTACTCCCTAAAGTTACCCTAATCAAGCCTCTCACAAGACGAGTCTTTACTGCTTAGTGTTACCCATTCGGAACTGTCCACAAAGCAATAGAGCCAATTGCACAGACACGGTGTTTCAGCATCCTGTAGCATTAATATTAATTATTTCATCAAGCTATATTTCTGTCACAATGCAACACAAGGTTGTTACAGACACTTTAACCTTTATTCACGATATGTTTCGGTCGTATAAAGCCATCATCAGGTGTCCTCGTTATGCTAAATTGTTCACTACACTGCTTGTCTCAGTTTTAAAGTTAGAATTAAAATAGATCGCCATATTAAATTTAGTAAAGACGGCTTTCATCCCCTTGTGGGATTTATTAGCGTAATCTTCAGTCACTGGGCGTGTTTCGTGTAGTTCGTTGATTTCATTTATCTGCGAAGGTGAATAAACTTTAAAGTGACTGTAACACTTTTGTGTTGCATTATGAAGGAAATATATATTAATGAAATAATTCAGTATCAAAATTCCTTGGATAATAATAGAAAATTAAAACAATAAATCAATTAGTAATGAACCTACCTACCTACCTACCTACCTACCAGTCGGCGCTACAGCCCTGGGTGAACCTTGGCCTCCTCTACAACCAGTCTCCACTGCTCTCTATTCCTCATCTTCTCTATCCATCCTTTCACCTTCATCTCCTTCAGGTCGTTCTCAACATCGTCTGGCCATCTCCTCCTGGGTCTTCCTTTTCTTCCCTTGGAATATAGCCTTCCTTTTAACATTCTCTTTGGCATTGCATTATATGTTCTTTGCCTAGTCCGTTTCCTGTTTGTTCCACTTATCCGAGGCTGGTTGTTAGGTTTCTGAACGAAATTCTTTTTACATGATGAAGTTGTTAGCCCCATGCCCAACCCCCAACCTGGAGGAGCAGGGTATCTCTCTTAGTCTGGACTCTACCCTTTGACCTTTCCGGCGTGGGTGACCCTACCGGTAGTTAAACTACCGCCGGCATAACTCTCCAGGTCACAGAGTCACGCAAGCCCCACCACCACGACAAGGTGGAGACATCTTTGGGAGAAGTAATAAACCTAATTAAACCTAAATAAACATTTATGTACTTTCGGCCGTTACAACAGTAACACTATACGGGTTTGTTACATAAAAGCAGAATGCGCAAAAGTTTATGCGGATTTACAGATCGCCAAACCGTATGTGTGTGCCTTTGTGATTGCCTTTACAAAGAAAGATTTCTGACACATTTTATCGAATAGTTCAGAGGTTTGCGCTGACTGCTGAAAGGAAGATATAAGGTCTATACATACAAATATTGACAGATATAGATTACGAAAAGTTGGTGGGACACGCTGAACCAGTAACCCTGAGGCTGCTGTTAGCTAGGCGCATGCGTAACACGGAGCATTATCCGTGAGCGTCACCGACGCCTGTGATGAGACGCTTTGTAGTGTGCTAGAACTTCACTCACGCTTCTGCTCCGAAGATGAAACTAGCGCGTTTGTTCCAGACGTCGGTAAACATCTATCAGACCACACGACGTCACATCTCAGGCGACAGCAATATTCATAGTGAGCACCGTGGGAGCCCCCGGGGTAAGGCTGGTGCCTCACTCGTCTAGACGTGCCTCAGATGGGCGGAATGGAAAAGCCTGTTCCCTAACAACGTAAAGTACATACACTTGGTCGTCGACTTACGACCGATTTCCGTTCTGACTGACAGGTCGTAAGTCGATCTGGTTGTATGTCGGCCATATATTTATTAACAGTATCTTTTAACCTTTCTAATCTTTTTATCATCTTTATAATTTATTTTTAAAAACTTTTACATTTTAATCATCTTTTATTTTTCATTTTTTTTTGTGGTCGTAAGTGCGGCCGGTCGTAAGTCGCATAGGTCGTAAGTCGACGACCAAGTGTATAGGTAAACATTTGTCTGATAATCTCCCTATCCAGAATGGTTAACCCAAGGAGATGCTTTAACGCCACTGCTTTTCAGATTTGCTTTAGAATATGCCATTAGGAGGTCCACGAAAAACAGATGGGACTGAAATTAAATGGGACACATCAGCTGCTGAAATCACTTGCAAGTATTGTTAACTATTGCTCTGAGCTACGGTGCATCAGTTTCAGTACTATTTACACTAGTATCTGGGATAGCTAAGTTGGTATAGGAACGGGCTGCAGAATTTCTTTTTCCAATTACTCTGTGTTGGTGTTCATGCACTTGGTTTTGTTGGCTAGGTTTGTAGCACAAATTGATAACACTTTTTCTGTTCTAGTTCCACGCCTGTGCGTGCTCTATCACAATTGTTATTGCATATTTTCTTGTTATCTCCCGAATTAGTCTGGTCTCAGGTGATTAAATAGCTTTGTGCATCTAACAAGGGTTGTCCAGCTATCGAGGTTAGCTCTTTCTAAGGGACCCAACTGAGTGGGTGTCTTCCCCCTCACCTGAGGACAGACCCAGTTTCCGAAACGTCGTGTTTTCTAGTCTCCAGAATACCGGACGATGGAAAAAGTCCAGAACCCCAGTAATTGTAGTTGCAGTAAAATATTTCTCTCTCCGAAGAAGAGGACGCAAATCTGTCACCATAACTGTAGAAGTTTCCGTGACTACTTGTGCACGTGACATTTAAGAAACATCATCTTCAATATTAATTAATTACAAAATTAAAATTAATATTGAGTTCAATAACATAAACGTCACTTTGCAGAAATGTTGCGGGGAGTTGAGATATGCTGTTACATGAAACGAATTTCGTCCGTTCCCTCCCCCTCGCACCCTGGTTCCGTGCAAAGGGTTCGATAGGGACGATCCAATTAACTCTGCTTCCTGTAGGTCACCGAACCTGCAGTCATGCTGAGTGCCGTGCCTTTGTGATTCTTGTGCAGAAGTTCTTCTGCTAAATCAGTTGACTGTGTAGAATTGTACAGCGTTTGCGGAAAGCAGAACAAACGCACTGTAGAAACATATCTGAGCTCTGAAGATGACACGAAGGCTGAAGTTAATAAAATCTTCTAGGGCTATCAAACGTCTTAATTAGGTTAAGAACTACCTATGTTTAATGGCTAATAGTCCGAGACGGTTATGATAATTAGGCGAGGAATTCTCCGAGGCCAACACTCGCTGTAATTAAAGAAGACACTGTAAAGCTTGAAGGTTTCTGGTTCAATTCCAGATGAGACCATCGGAGTTTACATTCTACCTAATCCTTCCAGTCGCACTATGGCCCTGGGGTCGATTCAGCCTCTAACAGAAATGAAACCATGATTTTTCCTGGGGATAAAGGGCGGACGGTGCTTAAGGCTGACAACCTCACCGCCACCTGTGAGCCAATTGTCTAGAATATGTGGGCCTTCACGGCCTGTTACAGGGATAGCTTTACCTTTTTTTTTACCTTTCACGCAAAGATCGGAGACGGAGTAAAAAGAAGTTCTTTTCCGGAAGGGCATCAAGTTGCGAGGGCAGTGAACTCTATATGTTTCCGCTCAGTGCAGCTGTCAGGTAACTGTTTCGACTTTAATGAAAACGAGGATGGTACATTACATTTAACTACTAATAGTAAAATGTACTTTAGTCATTTATGCATTAATAACAGAATATGCGGTACGGCCATTAATTTCGGTTTTCTAGACCGGAGCCGCTATTTCCTTGAAATACCTCCTCAGTTATCCTCACGAGGCTGAGTGGACCCCGTTCCAGACCCACTACATATCAGAAAATCTGGTAGCGCCGGAAATCGAACCCGGACCTCTGGATCTGTAGCCAGGAACTCCGACCACTAGACCACAGAGGCGGACTATAAAATTAAATAATTACAAATAAATGTCGAGTAATTATTTGAATACAATGATAATCAAATTATTTAAGGCAAATAGAAACGGCGACAGGCCAAAGCTCCCGCTTCCACTGAAGGCAGGCAGGTCTTCACGAGCCGATGGCTGTCAACTTCCGAAGGGTTGTGCACCGTTGCAAATGGCAGCCCATCCTGCAGGCACGTGCTAAGCAACAATTGGCTGGGGCCCACCGTGTGACGAGGTCCTCTCTGGCCCAAAGTCTTTACGTACGCAGTCCGAAAGAAGTGGGTGGAGCCACTTTGTTTATGTATACGGAATTCTATGAAACTATGTACGAGTCCAGTTCCGAATGTCTGATAGTTTCTGATAGTTGAAATAGAACAAAGCGGCCATGGCTTATTTTAAGGTACTGTCCCAGCATTTTCTCTGAGTACTTAAGGGAAAACAAGTTGTGGCGAGAGACGGTCTGGAAAGTTGCCGCAAAGTATGCACTCATACTTGGCTGTCTGACCCAGTGCATTCTCTCTTGCAGGAAAACGCTGTCACCAAACCATGTGAACTGTTCCGCAAAGTAGGTAAGTAGGCAGAGAAATGGATACTTAATTCTGTGTAAATAGTACTATTATCGTAATAACTGTGTGTTTGATTCATCGAAATAATTTACATTAAATTAAGTACTGCTAAGTAATTCGTCCTTCTTCAAGTTATATGTTTTTCTCGGGTGTTGAGAATATTTGGACCGAAGAGAGATGAAATGACAGGAGGTTGGAGAAAACTGCATAATGAGGAGCTTCATAACTTGTACTCCTCTCCAAGTATAATTAGAATGATGAAGTCAAGGAGGATGAGATGGGCAGGACATTAGCACGAGTGGGGGACATATAGGATATTGGTGGGAAAGCCGGGAGGAAGGAGACCACTGGGAACAGCAAGACGTAGATGTGTGGACAGTATTAAAATGCATCTTAGAGAGATAACATGGGATGGTATGGATTGGGTTGATCTGGCTCAGGATAGGGACCAGTGGAGGGGTCTTGTGAACACGGTAATGAACCTTCGGGTTGCATGGAATGCTGGGAAGTTCTTGAGTAGCTGTACAATTGGTAGCTTCTGAAGAAGGGCTCAGCTCCGTGAGTGAGTGAGTGAGTGAGTGAGTGGCGAATGGAATGATAATTCAGTTCGGAAGGTCGATACATCGTTGTGCACTTCACTTAGAGGCCGGTACTGCCCTTTCAGCTTGCTGATGATTGGGAAATGAATTATTTAGGCAGTATCAGACGGAGAGGAGGCTAGCATCCTGCCAATGTAATCACACCAGCAGCAATTGGGACTAATTGTTCTGTGTCTGCGTTAGCGCAGCTGTATACTGTTATTTTTACGGTAACAATGATACAACTATGATTTTCCCTGTAGTTCTGTATGGGTACATAATACTTTGTCTGCCGATCACGGTAGCCGTGCGGTCTAAAGCATGAACTGTGTTCGGACGCTGGGGTCGTGGGTTCGAATCCCGCTCAGGGTATAGATGTTTGGTGTGTGTTTGCGTTTATTATCTATTTGTGTTGTCCTATGTGTAGGCAGAGGCCTTGCGGCGGTCCAACCACTCGTCCAGGAGTCCTACCGTCTGTGAAAAATTATTACGGAACTGAATAAGAGGCCAGGGCCCCCCTGAATGGGCTGGACGAGCCCCTGAAAATGATAAATATTTGTTGAATTATGTTAGAGGAGGAACATGGACTGAAGGTGTTTGAGAACAGGGTGTTGAGGAGAATATTTGGACCGAAGAGGGATGAAGTGACAGGAGGTTGGAGAAAACTGCATAATGAGGAGCTTCATAACTTGTACTCTTCTCCAAGTATAATTAGAATGATCAAGTCAATGAGGATTAAATGGGCAAGGCATGTAGCACGAACGGGGAGAAAAGGATATTGGTGGGAAAGCCAAAAGGAAAGAGCTACTAGGATGACCAAGATATTGGTGGGTGGATAATATTGTCGCGTATTGGGCGTATAACGCAACAAATAACTTCACGCCGTATTTGATATAGCGAATTTTATTTCACATTCGCACTTACAATCACCCAAATTACAGATTTACAATTACTGCTATCTGCAGTATCACAAATACTACACTCCAAATGCCACAATACAACTGACTGGTTGCGGGCTAACTCGGAACTAACTCGGAGGTAGCTCGAGGACTAACTGTGAATAGCCTTCGCTGCTCCTCATGTAGTCTCGATCGGACAATACAGAAAACGGCCACGTAATAAGCACCCTTGTTGCCTGGCGCTGTGTTGCTAGCAAGGCTAGCGGTAGTAACCGCTGTTACTACCGTCGTCTCTCGCAATCCTGGTTACCCGCGCTGCCTAGCAACCCGCGGTACCCTTTGTGACGTCATCGCTGTTGACTCGCGTTGCATAGCGACCAGGATGCTAGGACTCGGCTAACTTCGGCTCACTTCGGCTTCGCTCGTCGAGGCATCACGGCTGGCGGGGGGGAGGGGCGTCATCCATAGCTCAACATGT